AGGGGAGCGCGGTGCGGAGCGGAGCGGGCGGCGGGAGCGCCCCGCTCAGTCACGCCGCCGGCACGGCATGCCCCGCGCCGCGCCGCCCCGCGCAGCCTCCCGCGGCCGCGGAGTCAGCGGGACGGCCGCGCCATCCGCCGGGCGCCCTCCTCCAGTGCTGCTCGCTGCAGCCTCGTCGCTCTTCTTCTTGTCCCTCCGCTCTAAGGCTTTTCTTTTTTTTTTTTTTTTTCCGGGTAATAAGTCGCAAGGATCAGCCTCCTCGGTTTATTTCTTTTTTATCCCAATCGCGCGGCTCCGGCGGCGAGCAGGTACATTCCTTCACATTCACGCACCTTCTCGCCTCTCCTCTTTTTTTTCCTCTCCCCTCGGGGGCTGGGAGGGGGGGGATCCTTTCTCTCCGTCTTTCTTTCCTTCCTTCCTTCTTTCCTTCCTTCCTTCCCTGCGCTCCCTCCCCCGCCCGCTCGGCTCCTGCCTATGCCCGGCCGCGGTGCAGCAGCATCCCTCGGCGGCTCCGCGGGGAGGCGGCGGCGCAGCGCACCCGCCACTCCGCGGCCCCGCGGCCAACCCGCGGCCGGCGCCGGGCCAGGGAGGCCGATCCGCGGGCGGGGCCCGGGGCAAGGAGGCACGGCTCCGCGCAGCTCCTCCGCGCCCGCGCTAAGTCCGGCCCGGCATCAAAACTCCGGCGAGGATTCCCGAAAAAAAAAAATAATAAAAAATTAATAATCCACACACGAAAAAAAATAATAATAAAAAAAAAATGAAACCCTGGAGGGGAGCGGCAATGACCCAGTCGGAAAAAAAAAAAAAAAGATACGGATCCGGCAAATAAATGGGCACGCAGAGGCAGCTCCTGCCAAGCTTGCAGCTTCGGTTCGATTGTGTATTCCTCTGGCAGCGCCGCGGAGGCAGGCTAGCGCGCACAAAGTAAGGCGCCTCCCACCAAAGCCTAATGGTGGCTTCTTAATGCGCACAAGATAAATAAATGATCCAGGCAAACCCCTCGGGAGGGTGTATGCTACGGCAAGCGGAGCTTAGGAAAGGAAGGAAAAAGGCAAGAAAAGAACAAGAAGAGAGAATGGGCGGGGGTGTGGGGTGTGGGCGAAGCGCCTGAACCCATCCTGTGGTAGCAATCCAATAGGCTGGTGCTGTATGTCAGAAAAGACTTGTGTGCGGGGAGCGGCGAGGGGTGTGCGTGTGCGGGGGGAGGTGGAGACACCTTCCGAGACGGATCCCACCAAATCCCAGGAGAAGACCAGGGCTCAGGACAGAAGATGTTCTCCGACTCTGATGCTATCCGACAACTAACAATTGGCAACATTTTGTTGCTGTTGTTTCTAAAGGGAGTCGCTAAAGAAAAAAAAACCACCAGACACCTACAACAAAAGAACAGTTCTTTACAGGAGCTGGAGGGCAACTGATGGCACAGCCACATACTGAGGTTGCAGCTTTCTGGACGTTGCCACACAAGTTTTGATACTGAAACTACTCCGCCTTATTTGGTGTACTCCAAAGTTGAACTCCCATGTTCAGTGTGGTCAGCAGTGTGTGCTTTCCATTCACTTAATGGACAAACATTTCGACAACCAGGATGGTCACAGAAGGGTTAACAGCAGTCTACCAAAGGTGGCCTAATCACCTTTTTCAAAATTTTACGAAATGCTCTATAAAATTATATATAAACAGATTTTAACCCTTTCTTCTGATCTATCACTTCATTGGTCTCATTTTATGGTATTGATACATAAGTATAATTTCCTTAGTACTGTATTTAAAAGTGTATTAATATTTATACAGAATAATTGAGCAGAAAAGTTGGAAAAAACCTGTGAAATACATTTGTTCTGTATATAAAGAGGCAAGTATTGCAACTGAAACGTATCTGCTCCAATTTTTCTCTAGAATAAATGTTAATAACATTTACAATATAATATCAATGTTATATTTTAGACATCTAGACTAAATAAAGGTTAATAGCATTTGAAATGTAATATCAATATTATATTTTAGACATCTAGACTAATAATGAGTAGACATCTAGATTATTGTCACTCCAAGCACTCCATCTGGAGTTTGGTGGCTTCTCTAAGATAGTTCTGTGTTAACATCCATCTGGAAAATCAGTGGAAGTGGCTCATAAGGTAAGTGTACTATTTAAACTCCTCAACCCCCCACCCCCCACTTTGGCACTGGAAAACATGAATATATGGATTTCTACTCCTTCAGTGAAGAGGCAAAAGATTTAGGAGAAAGCATTTAGAAAGAACCACATAAGCATTGCCCAATACACAAATGGATGCCCAGTAAAGCAAGTAAATGAGACAGACCAGGAAGTCTTGGTGATCCAGGGAGGCTTTGTCACTGACTTTATAGAACCCAGGATTTCTTATGGAAATATAGAACCAGGTGCTTTCAGTGTGGAGTCCCTGTCCTACACAGTCCTCACCTTCCTTGCAACCTTGGAATATCTTTATCCTACTCTGGGCTTTGTGTTTCCTGGACAAATGTCTCTAAGCTCCTGCATCTTCCATAACCATTTTACTGTTCACTAAGCTCAACATGAATCATTCTTTGTATACATCCTCAAATAATTTGTACGTGCTTCTTGGAAGAGCAAAAATGTTTTACAACCCTCACAAGAAAGAGAGCTTTTATTTTTCTCACGACTGTGTCTTGAACTCTTTCAGTGTTACATCTGTCTCAGCTGCATTTCTTCCCCCCACTAAGATTTTCAAACTGTCGGCTCCTAAATTTTGTAATGGTTTTAATGGAAGACATCAGGATGTGATACCATTAAGATGACTCAAGTGTAGCCATCTCATCGATTAATATTGAAGGACTTCCTGTATTATGAGTAAAGATTTTCAGGCTCCTTTTGTTACAATTTCCCATTCTTACCATTCAGGGTCTACAAACTGTTCTTGAAATTGATTGTGGAATGCTTTCAAAGGGCCTTACTTAAGTGAATTACTTAAAAACAGGTATTACCCTGATAAGTTAATGAAGATCTTACCATTGACTATTAGCCTACTGAAGAAGGTCCTTCAATCTAAAAATATGAAATGGCATGGATCTTGATATAGAAAGCTTCCCTTAAACCTATAGTAAATGCAAATGTATTTCAAATAGGTTGTCTTTCAGTTAAAAAAGCCATTCATCTAGACAGACACCTAAATGCAGGCAATATATGGAAATGTCTTCCTGTAATAACTTAGTCATGAGTTAAAATGTTATGATGTGTACAAAAACACAGTCTCTGGATGCTTTTAGATTATCTCTCTGTCCTTAAAAATTAATATTCAAATCATAATCAGTTTCTGAAATCAGCCCACTCTTGTTAAACTGAATCTGTTCAGTGCATTAATTCTAATTTACGTAGGTATTTGGTAAATCTCACTTGCATTTCTTCCTACTCATTTTGTATCATAGCCCAACTCTTTTGCTTTTTCTGGAAATATGTTTATAACGATCAGAAAGTAATAATTTAATTTTCTTGACTTACTTTTCTTCTTAATATGCAAAGAAAGCCTTAGTATCTCCTTCAGGGCATCTGTGACTGGGATGGATTAAAATTGTTTATCTATGACGGAGTCAGAAGTGGTATTTTCTTAAGAACTGGTATGACACACACAAAACAGATATACCATTTGTGCATATATCACTTTGTTTGTCACGGGGGTTACATTTTGGCTGTGCAATAGGTATGCCACAGCTAGTGCCTGTGTTACAAGGGTTTTATTCCTGGTTGGATTCACACTTGCCTCCAAACAGAACCACCTACACTCATTATTTCAAATAATGAAATGTAATAAGTGATTTAAAGGAGTTAGATTTTGTTTAACTGTTGTCATGAAATCAGTCCAAGAAACCTCAGGATAACTGGGTTAGAAACAGAAATTCAATTTTGGAAAATAAGACCCTTTTGGAGCCATGTCCGTTTCCACAGCAAAACAATAAACCTGTAGGATGCCTGTGTTCCAATCCCACATCCACAAAAACTTAAAGGCCTTTCTTTCCTCCCCAGCTTTACAAAGTATCTGAAGACATTCCTTGTTAATTTATGTAAATATTATCTGAAGCTAAGAGAAACAAAACCTCAACACTTACTTTGCTTTATGGTGTGATCAGCTGCTGACAGCATAAACAATCTCTCTTGAAACTGAGGTGCTCCAGCACCCACCTCATTTGCTGGTAGTTCAGCAAACAGAATTTCCCAAACAAAGGATGCTGGAATTGGGTCTGGTTATATAAATAGGTGTTATGCTGTTTCCCAAACTAGGGCATTTGAATATTCTTTACTTAATTCTTCCTCTTAGCTTTCATCCCCAGCTTAGCTACAACATACACATCTCTAATGGTCGGCTCACAGTCAGGGAAAACCCTGCTTTTTGTCTGAGGTCAGCATGTAACTCTATTCCTTCTTCCATGTGAAATGCATAAGTAGCATTCCACTGATCCCATTAACCAGTACTCAGAACTAAAGAACTCTTTCCCACTCTGACTGCAAAAATAGCTATTACGCAAAACAAACAGC